GAACTCTCACTCAAAACATCATGACTTTTAAAAAATGTTCCATTAATGGGAGAGTCTATGGTAAGAAAATAGTTTCTTCCTCTTAACGATACCGGATAAGTAAATAGACAACATCATTAAAAAATAATACCCTGTTACCCAAACCATCATGCCTTTTTAATTAAGCATGGCTATGATGCATGACAGGTAATGAACACCCATGATCTAGTTGTTTCTCACACTTAGAGCAATTTGATGAAACTTAGGATCTGTTTCCATTCATGGGTAGAGACAAAGTTCCCTTTGATACTCTGTTACGCGGTTTTGCTCTGTAGTGCTGCAGAGGCCAAATTCTCTGGAAGGATGAGTTCTAGGCAGCATGATTTATCTTGTTAAGCCAATGTCTTATGCTTCCTCCCGTGTTTGCCATGGGACCAATGTGTTTTCGATGATTTAGTATTTATTTCCTGAAGTACACACTTTCCTGGGGACCTTCACTGCTGAGTTCCCTGATGCATTCTTCTGTATGGATACATAGTCTGTATTTGGGTTTTCAAGCATCCCTTTTATACCTGGCCCTTCTCAACACAGTATTGGCTAGCTAACAGACAATTCCCTTTGTAGAGAACATGGGGCCCAATGGGAGCATCACAGTGTCCTCCTTGATCTCTTACCATGGAAGGCAGACATTTTGGGAAGAAAAGGATTTCCAAGAGAGGATAGATTTTCTTTGTCTCCTAAAGGGAAGGAAACTTCACACATGCCTAGTAAATAGCATAGAACCATTACTTAAAATGTATGGACTTTATTTTCAGAGACATTGTAAAAATTCTGCCTTGACCTAAATAGTAGTGTAAGTAAGACTATTTTAGAATGTTAGATGATATTATGGTCTGGGGATCCTTTTGCTTCATATTATCACAGTAGTATAATTTCTGAGAAGCAGTCTGAAGGTATTAGACATGTGGACCAATAACCATTGGTAGAAATATTTATAGCAGGCTACTTTTAGAAACAACTTCTTGACATTTTCAAGTAGAGATCTCAATATCTTTGTCAATGTCCATATTTTAGAAATCCCATGAAAGTTTGAAATTTCCCTCATACTATACATGAAGGAATGGGTTAAGTATTCTCTTTCATCCCTGATTTATATGCATTAAAATAGATAATGTATTTATGCCCTTCAAACATATTCCTCCTTGCACACTCCCAGCCTGTTCAGAATTGCCTCTTTTGGGTACAGCTTAATCTTGTTTTGAATCATAGATCTGGGCTTTGGGAAATTTTAGCTTTTTATTCTGACCGATTGTTTTAGTTTACTATTGCTGTGATGAAACACCATGACCAAAGCAACTTAGGGAGAAGAGGGCTTATTTGGCTTACATTCCCACATCACTGTTCATCATCAAAAGTAGTCAGTGTAGGAACTGAAACAGGGCAGGATCCTAGAGGCAGGAGGTAATACAGAGGCCACAGAAAGGTGCAGTTTACTGGCTTGCTTCACATGGCTTGCTCAGCCTGCTTTCTTTTAGAATCCAGGACCACCAGCTTAGGGATGGCACCACCCACAATGGATTGGGTCTTCCCACATCAATCACTAACTTTAAAATTGCCCCACAGCCTGATCTTATGGAGACATTTTCTCAATTGAGGCTCCCTCCTCTCTGATAACTCTAGCTTGTGTCAAGTTGACATAAAACTAGCCAGGACACCCATCTATATCTTGTTTTTGTACTCAGAACTATTGCCCTCTTAGACTGTTAATTTTTCTTTTGACCTGCAATGGTATATCTTTGGGGGACCATTTAGGGATTATATATATTATATAACATTATATAATATATATTACACACACACATATATATATACACATATATATGTGTAAATATATATTGTATATGTATACAATATTGTATATGTATATACATATATATTTGTATGCAATAGCAATGAATGGAAATAGAAATAGAAAGCCATCAATTCTAGTAGAGAAAGAAGGGGTATAATATAAGAGTGTTTGGAGAGAGGAAAGGGAAGAGATAAATGATGTAATTATATAATAATCTCCCCAAATATAAAAAACCCAATATATAAACACAAATAAAACAAAATACTAAGTTTATTTTCTAAAGTTAAATATCTAAAACTAGTTACAATTTTACTTACTATTTACTTTCAATGTTTTAACAGGTGAAGTACTAGATGACCTGGGCCAGAAGAAAGAAATAACTAAGGTATAGAAGATATACATTTCATTTTATGTTTTAATTTTAAACTGCATATGCTTTTAAAGTAGGGCACATTCATAAAGGCCAGATTTATATTATCCATCATGATACATGTAAAGTATAATATACAAAGAAATAGATTCACATGGTTCAAAATTTCTTCTAATCCAGATACCTTGGTCACACAGTTTCCAAATCTTTAGAGCTTGCCAAAAATGTGCTTCACTGTTCATAAACATGTGGTGGTCGAATATACATTTTCTTCCCAGCCTCAGAAACCTTAACAGATCAATTTTAAGTGCTTATTATTCTCAATTGTTGAATGATATCCTGATATATTTATGTCCTACAATATATGTGATGAAACACTAGTGGGGGGTTAAAATGTTTCTTATAGCTTGATAGTAAAGAAAACTCAGAGGAAATCTGGATAAGTATGTTATTTCATAATGTTGGAGTATCCTGTGGAATGCATTTCAAGAAATGGAATTACTACATAAAAATGTGTGGATACCTGTAGCTTGATAAATATTAGTTACATTTTAATAAGATAAAAAAAGAGACAACTAATCCCTTTTAAGGACACACTGTCAATGATCAAAGTCATTCCCACCAGGATTGCCTCCTCTTCAAACTCATAGCACTGCCTAACATGACCCCTCTGAACTCCAAATGTTCATACATGGACTTTTCAAGGACATTCAACATTTATTACATTCAAGATGTAACAGATGCTTACATGAAAAAGCTAGTATAATGCAAACATCTGATACATGGTAGTGATTATTAAATTGTGTTTGGGTAGGGAAATAATAAAGATTTATATTAGGGATATGTAATTACAAAATATTTAAAGCAGCAAGTTTGGCTTAGTTTTGACTTAGCCACTTCCTGTATAGCTGGCCTTGACAATTCAGATTCTCATCTGTAAAATGGGAAAGTAGTGTTTATTCCAGATGCTTGGTAGGATCTCTATGTGCCATAATTCATAAAGGCTGTTAGTCTGTTTTCTGGCCCACATCAATAATATTTATTTTATCCAGTATTATTCATTTTAGAATAAAGCTGGTATGAGGAAGAAAGAGCCTACACCTGGCTGTAATTTTACCTCAGGCGTTGACAAACTGTATCTTGGAATGGAAAATTTCTCTCAGCATTGTTTCTCTTTTGAAAAGTACTTATAATAGCATCTGTTCTTTTCAAGTTCAGAATCAAATGCCAAACTGTAATACAAATGTCAGTAGTAAACTTAGGGCAGAATGGTTAGAATTTTACAAGTTTTGGGTTGCAGAAAAATAATGTGTTGTATTCGTCACTTTACTTTGTAATGTTTAGTGAGATTTAAGAATGTGCCTACCAATAGAACACATTGCTGTATTTGTAATATCAAATGTTAATTTGCAAGTAAGCAAATGTTAATTCACAAGTACTAATAGTTCAAAAAGGGCTATAACAAGACATATACTATTTCAGGTCAGATAACTGCTCTCAAAATGAATTTAGTCAGGTCAGGACTTCCCACCAATTTAGGTGTCAAAGGGTACAAGTGGAGTTCTTGAAAGCAAATGTCAGGGGCTGCATATGAATTCATCTTCCTGTTCAAATGGATGGAAAAATGCATGTCCCATGGCATGACTGAAGATGACATTGTGAGTGCCTTGACCTTTGCCACCAGCTGATTATCACTTCTTGTAACACTCAGGCTTTGCTTAGTATGCTACTGAGCTGAAGACATATAAATGTGGTCTTGTCCCGAGTCACATGAAAGATGTCATTAAAGGCTTTGGTCCTGGGAGTCAAGGCTATGCAATTGGTAATGCCCCCAAGTTTCAGGGCCCCACATTGAGGAGCCATATGTTGGGGCCCCACATTGAGGGGGCTATCTGTCAGGAACTAACATTGCGCAAAATCTGCCCTGACACCCAAGCAAGCCAAGGCACATAATTGCCATGCCAGACATGCAGACTGTTCTAGTTGACCCAGGCTTATTGAATGTGGTTACCACAGGCTCTGGGGCTCTTTGTTGTCAGTACTGTGGACATGGATATGATGGACCCCTAACCTCTGTCTCTTAGGTTTGGAGGAACCTTTGCCAAGTGTCTCAGTGTTACCAAGTATCATTACCCTTAGAGATAGTAGGGGCAGAGCTGCTTATAGAAAGATGGAACTACTCAGTTCTCCCTGCCATTCCCTTTTCCTTGACCTCTTGCAAGTTATTTTGATGTGTAGACAGGGTCAAGACAACCAATTAGAGGTCCTGTGATCCTATAGGGCCTGATGCCAAGGAGTGATGAGTGAGCTCAGTGCTGCTTCAAGCTCCAGCCCCAGACATCAGTTTTTGGCCTCTGCTAAATTGTCTTGTAGGTGATCCCAGCAATATAGTGGTAGAGGGGTGTGTGTCCAGGTAGTTGTACTTCAACATCCCTGTGAGATGCACAGGGAGCCAAAGAAAAGGAAGACTAGCTACAGTCTGCAGCTTGACTGTTAACTGGATAGCATTAAATAGCGTACATATGATTTCATCTTTGGAGGGGACACTTAACTTTGGTTGCAAGGTGGAAGGCATGTGTTATCAGCCCGGATATGGAAATACACTGGGGAAGTGGAGGGCCAAAGTAATTGAATGCTAGTGTCCTCATAGTGAGAAGTTGAGAGCTGCCATCTGTTTGTGAAGGGAAATGGACATTTTTATCATTTATAAGACTGTCATAAAGCTTCCAAAATTACAATGTAATTGTCCTAAAGATGGGGGCTGACCACATGAAATCAACAAAAGGCCAAAAGATGGAGATCAGGTTAGAGTTCTCAAATGGATGAAAGTATGTGATGAATCTCCTAAGGATATGAGAACGAACACCCTACTCACCCCAGATAGGGAACTGATGACAGACCAAAGTAACAATATCACCATTATTAGGGTATGAGTATTTATAGGAAAATGGGTGAGGGGCTACTTACAGGAGCAGAATATTTTACACAGCTGCATCACCAGAACCCAGCTTACAGTGGTGACAGCTCACAAAACCCGGAAACTTGTCCAACCTACAGGCAGCTCATCAGGTTGGAGTGTGTCCTTTTCAGGAGGCTCAGTTGGTCTGAGTCTCTCCCAGGCAGCCTGGCTGGTCTCTGCCTTTTCCAGGCAGTGTTTCTGGTCTGAGGGTATCCTTCATGGCTTATAAACATCTATACTGCCTGTGGAAGGAGGGGTCTGTTGAATCTGTTTGGTTTCAGGAACTTCCTGAAGATATTCTGAGTTGTCTATTCACTGAGTTTAAGGATCTTCCTTGCAGGATGGAATGTTTCACCTCCTTTTTAAAATTCTGTGTCTTAATGAACTTCCCTCTAAGATGGAAAGCCTTACTCTGCTACACAGCAGTGTAAGAATGTATACTAGAGATTTTCTATTTTTCAAACAATCTGGGCTGAATTAATGGTTGTAGATTCTTTTTAATTAGGTAATTACAATCCCATGAAAACTATAAAGGTCAAAAATGAAAAGACAGCAATGGATTACTGTTGGAAAAGTTTGGCTTGGTGGTGATGTTCTCTTACAGAAAAAGGAGGGTGTGGACTTCTCAGGCAAATCCCAACCAGAAAGAACACTGCATTTCCGTGACCACAGTCTGATGGAATCCATTGAGCTGGGGGACCCCAAAGTGCATGAATTCCTTCGCTTACTTGCTCTCTGCCATACTGTAATGTCAGAGGAGGATAGTGCAGGTAAGTAAATGTGTTTGAATAGTGAGCCTTTTTAAAAAGCAAAACACAGATAAGCACTGCTATTAAAATGCAAGGATTCCCTCAACTGAAGAATGGATGGAGAAAATGTGGTACATTTACACAATGGAATCTCAAAGTTCATAGGCAAATGGCTGGAACTAGAAGAAAACATCCTGAGTGAGGTAGCCCAGTCACAAAAAGACAAAAATGTATGTACTCACTCATATATGGATTTTAGACATAGAGCAAAGGAATACCAGCCTACAATCCACACTGCTAGAGAAGCTAGTATACAAGGAGGACCCTAAGAGAGACAAGCATGGTCCCCCAGAGAAGGGGAAAGGGACATGATCTCCTGAGCTATTTGAGAGCATGGGAGGAAGGGGAGAGGGAGCTAGAAGAAAGAGAGGAGGAGAACAGGAGGGGAGAGGAAGACATGAGAGAGCAGGAAGATTTAGTCAGGGGAAGAATTGATGAGAGCAAGATAAGAGATACCACAATAGAGGGGGCCATTATAGGTTTAAAGAGAATTCTGGCACTAAGGGAAATGTCCAGAGATCTATGAGTTTGACCCCAACTAACAATCTAAGCAGTGGCTGAGAGGCTACCTAAAATGCCCTTCTCTGATAATAAGGATGACTACCTTATATGCCATCCTACTGCCTTCATCCAGTAGCTGATGGAAGCAGAGGCAGACACCCACAGCTAAACACTGAGCTGAACTCTGGAATCCAGTTGCAGAGAGGGAGGAGTCATGAGCAAAGGGGTCAGAACCAGACTGGAGAAACCCACAGGGACAGTTGACCTGAACAAGGGGTTGCTCATGGACACCAGACTGATAGCTGGGAAACCAGCATAGGACTGTTCCAGACACCCTGAGCGAGGATGTCAGTTTGGAGATCTGGGCAATCTATGGGACCTCTGGTAGTGGATCAGTATTTATCCCTAGTACACAAATGGACTTTGGGAACCCTCTCCACATGGAGGGACACTCTCTCAACCTATACACACTGGGGAGGGTCTAGGCCCTGCTCCAAATGATAAGACAGACTTTGAAGATCCCCATGGAAGGCCTTGCCCTCCCTGGGAGCAGAAAGGGATTGGGATGGGGGTGAGGGGACAGGGGAGGAGAGGAGGGAGAGGAAACTGGTATTAACATGTAAAAGAAGCTTGTTTCTAATAAAAACAAAAGTAAAAAAAAATAAAATGCAAGGATTTCTGAACTAAAGAAAGAATATTCCAGACAACGTTTTCTTGTCACCAGCTTTTTTTATTTGTTTATATCCCGAATGCCTCTCATAAACAAGGAAATAGTTTTTAACTTTTTATTAGTTTTGTTTAAGTGTGTAGGTGTCTTACCGGCATGTGTGTCTGTATAGCACTTGTGCGCAGTGCCCATGGAGGCCAGAAGAGGGCGTCTGATCACGTAGGACTGGAGTTACAGATCTGATCACGTAGGACTGGAGTTACAGACAGGTGTGAGCTGCTATGTGGGTGCTGGGAATTGAACCTGGGTTGTCTGAAAGAGCAGCCAGCATTCTTAACTGCTGAGTCACCATTCAAGTCCCCATAAATACTTTAAAGAAAAAGATACAGTACCAATGGAAAGCTAAAGATACAAATATATCCCTCAACCGGGATGAAATGCTTCTTATGATTGAGCACCACATTTGGCCATGAAACTGCTAGTACCCAGAACAAATAGGGAGATACAGTTGAGTCACCACACATGGAGTAAGATGACCATATAATGGGGATAAATCACATCAAAACACTGCAGTCATGCTGATCAAGGCCTCTTATATGCTACATGATTGTTTGGAGCTCAGGGTTCATAAAATGCAACAAACCAGCTGGCTTCCTTTCATTTTGATGCTGGGAGGCAATCGATGATGCCAGAGAATCAACTTCTTCCTTCCAAGTTTAACAGTCTCACCTTTGCGGTTTGTTTCTTTTTGTTATCAAGTATTAAGTTAAAATTACTACCCAAGGAAGTAATAAGTGCTGGATTAACCCATTCTTTAAATTTTAATTGCTTTGAAGATTCACATAATTATATTTATGGCTTTAATTGATCTTTATAATATTAACACCACAAGAAATTATTATATTCCCTTCTGGGAATTGCCTTAAGGAAGTCTCTTTTATTTCTGCCTTTTGAGTTTATTTCATTTCCCAAACCCTATTTCATTTTAATAGCAATCTGTTTTCCATTAATGTTATGATACTCTTTAGATCTCATTGAGGATATTAATTATACTTAATTTGAAATTTGCTTTTGTTTCGTCCAGTATGCTATATTTTATTGAGTGTGTTCTCTCTGTCTTTCTCTGTCTTTGTCTCTCTCTTGGTTTCTGTCTCTTTCCCTCCCTCTCTTCCCCTCCTTCCCTCCTTGTGCATCTAACTTTCATGTTGTTCTCAAATGTTTGGTGATTTCTGGTTGTCTGTTCCTCTTTGTGTGAGAGAATCCTTGCTTGGTGACTGCTTTTTATTACAGTATTCTGTAGTTCAAGATTGTACGGATGAAGCAGATTGTGTAAACTGGCCTTCTGGATGTGGGGTCCTCTGTTCTGGGAGTCATGCCACCTATGTTGCTGTCTTGCTTTTCCAGGGCTGGCACAAGGATTCTGCTAGGGATCTTATTAGAGATAGAAATGTATATAGGTTCCCTTTCTCATTTCCCCTCCTAGTCTATGGTAGTCTGACACTACTGCACTCACTCACCTCTGGCCTTGGGTCCCAGACTCAGATCTTGACCCTTTTTTGAGGTGGCCTGAACACAGGGTAGAAAAATAATTTTAAGGATGCATCCTGGGGAGAAGTATTGCTTCAGCCTGTCATACAGGGCAAACTGGCTGGAGAGGGAGCACAGTGGCCCAGTGGTGCTGATTGAAGTTCTTTAAGTAGTTTTACTAATGAGGCCTCCAAGATTCTGTTCCCATTTGTTGACTGAGTTTGGAGACTATTGGTGCTTTTTCTTACCTCTACCTCCATTTTCTTCTGCAAACGTTTTGATCTATGATTATTTTCCCTCTATCTTCATTTCTTTATTGATCAATTTGACATTTTATCTTTCTGATAGTTCTCATATTTGTAGATTCATTTTCAATTCTAGCATTATTAAAAATTTACATTGTGCTACAGTTCAAAGCGTTGAAGTGCCCAGATCTTCAAAGTACATGCACGAATGCACATGAATAAACATTGAAGTTTGATGTGATCTGACAGTTTCAAATATCCGTAGAATCACTGCCTGGATCAAGGCTTAAATCTCTTCCATCAATGCATCGAGGTTTCTCCTGGCCTTTCCATTCAGTTTCTATAAACTCCAGCCACCCAAGCTCTGTTGTGACTTCTATCACTAAAGATGAGTTTGCCATTCTTGTCCTCCATATAAGCAGAACTGTACAGTATACACTGAGTGTCATGTTCTGTCATCAGTTACTAATTCCTTTTTTTTTTATTAAAGTAGCACTCCCCTGTGTGAACATTCCACAACCTTTTCCAGTACTCTTTTAATATATGGTTAGATTATTCCAGCGTTTGTGAGTAAAGTTGCCACAGAGACTTTTTTTTTATGTCTTTTAAAATTATTTGTTTAAAAAAATGGAAGGAGATTGTATGAACTTTGTGTGTCTCTGTGTATGTTGGTAGCCTGCAAAGTTTCAGAAAATCATGTTAGATTTAATAGCTTGTAATTATAAAAGGACAAAATAAAATCTAATTGAGTATTATTTGTACAGAAAAATTTGGAGGGAGGATGTCTAAATACTTAGGAATGGAAATTTCCAGCTCATCATATATGGATATGTTTAAACTTCTAAGAAACTGTTCAACTGTTTTTTTAAAATATTAATGTATCCTTTTATATCTCCACTGTGCATGAATGAGAGTGCTAGCAGTCTGCACTCCCCACTCAACCTTCCCTGTGATTACTCTTACATTTTAGCTCTTGTTATGGCTGGTTAATGTCTCATGCCACTTAGAAGGATTTCTGAAGAGACAAGAGTTAGAAACATGAATGATTACAATGGTTTCTACCTCTTGTCTCAAGACACTGATTACCACTGATCCAGTAATGACTTCAGGAAATGTGAACTATTCTGTATAAATGTCACTGATAGAGAAGAAGAGAGTTCAAGTCTAACATTGTTTTAATACTTCAAATTCAGCTTGTGGTAGAGGACATGGCCAAAAGTGTGTTGCATTTGTTTCCTGGGGAAGATACTTGGAGAGGCTGTGGTTTTTGATCTCTACCAGTTTCAGAACAAGAGAGTGGGAAATCCAAGTAGGAAAATGGTTTTTGCTTTTTCAAGATAAGGTTTCTTTGTTATTTTGTCTTTGCCCTACCTTTATTTTCTAGACTCTTCTTTTTTTGTCTTTTCATAGTTTTAGTCCTTTTAAATCTTGCTACTTTGGAAATAATGTACCTTTATTATTTAGTGGTTAATATTGGGATTTTAATGTAACAAACTCACGAAAGCATGAGGCATCTTCTGAGTAAAATAAAGATCCTTCAGTGGTTATCAACCCTGTCCTGGCACATGGGATATTCCTATCATAGTCTACATTCCTTTAAAAACTCACTGGTGCTGTTTTTACAACTATAGTAAATACTTGTGTGGTTCATTCATATAGTTATCTATTTTATATTCTGTAACATTTGTTTCTTCTTTAATCTATAAGTGATATTTTTCTATCTATGTTTTTTTTTTACATATTTCTACCTACTAGTGGTAAATTTATGGCTTACCTATTGCTGGTAAACTATGAGAGATTCTGAAGTAACTATTTTATGGTTCCTTTTTCTCCTTTGATTTTTTGAAACAGAGTCTTGCTATGTATCCCTGTAAATGTTGGTATTTACTGTGTAGCTCAGGCTGTCCTCAAACTCATGGAAATCTTCCTGCCTTAGCCTCTTTGCTGATTCACTGTTGGACTTGCTCATAACTGTATATTCAAGAATATATGCAGAGAAGTAGGGTTTTATTTTTCACAAGGAATCATAGTATGCCTACTAATAGAAAACCCAATTATTAACAATTTATCCTGAGCACTATAAACAGTAAATATGGATCTACCTGTACTTGCATCTTCTAATTCATTTTTTCAAACATGATGTATTTTTTTGTAAATGACATTTTAAGGTATTTTTAGTCTTTCTGCATGTTTCATTCTTTCTCTTTCCTCTTAGTTCCACCCCCAGCAATACGCTATTGAGCAACAAGTCTTTAACATCTCGATTTGATCCTTTATGCTTTGGTGGATTTTATATATTTGCTCTCATAAAATGGCCTTAGCAAAGGAAAGGCCAGAATATCTGTTTCCTCACTTCTTGTTTGATTTCTTTAATGACCATATCATCTCTTTCAGCCATAGGTCCTATCAGTATAAAAATGAAAATAATTATTTAAATAATCATTTCTTCCAAAGGCATACTTTGAGGATCACATGAGTTAATATATTACAATGTTTTAGTTAGAACCTCTAATCACTGAAAGTGAGAGCTATGATCAATGACCAAGAGACTTTTATCACAGTGGAGAGACAGACTTACAATCAGACACTTTGCTGCAGGATAGGAAGGGCTGCATGGTAGTATGAATGGAGACTTGGGGTATCCCAGGACTTTGTATGGTTGATGAGTGGACATTATCTAAAGATAGGGAAGTATTTAGAGTTGATGCCAGAATTGGGTATTAAAGAATGCATTGGGATTAGCATTGCAATTATGAACCTAAGTCATTGGCTTCAACATTGAATATGCTTCTCTCTTTTCATTTTAGGACAACTGGTTTACCAGGTTCAGTCACCTGATGAAGGAGCTCTAGTTACTGCTGCTAGAAATTTTGGGTTCATTTTTAAGTCTCGGACTCCAGAGACAATAACAGTCGAAGAACTGGGAACACCTGTTACTTATCAGTTACTTGCCTTTTTGGATTTCAGCAACATCAGGAAAAGGATGTCTGTCATAGGTATGTTTGTTACCTGAGATTATCATTGATCTTTTGATGTTTCTGTAATTGTGTTGGTGCTTTTCAAGGCTAACAACTCTCAGCTATAAGCTACATTTTTGTGACTTTATGAACTCTGGCGGTCTTCAACCTAACCTCAGAAGTGTAATAATTTGTGAATAAATCTCAACAAGAGCTTATTCCATGCCCAACATTATTCTGAATTCTCTACCCGAAGTAACTGCTTTGTCACAACAACCCTAATAAAGTACATGTTATTATTTTTATGCCCATTGTGTAGATAGTCAAATTGAGACACAGAAAAGTTGAGCAACATTCCTGTCTGAGTCCACAAAGCTTAATGCTGCCACAACTGCTGTGGGTACATATGTAGTGGAGTCAAATCTAGAAGTCTTATTGGAGAGCTGCTCAGCTCTGGTTCAGGAGAATTTCCGAGTGGTGTAACTTGTTCTGGTTGTTGTGGACCTCACTGGCCATTCTCATACCACTTATCATTTCTGTTCAGCATATGGCTGTTCTCACAGCATTCATTATTTCTATTACTCCATTGCTGGAGATGATGACTGGAGATGATGGCCTTTAGTACCACATCACGTGAATCCAAGCTTTTCTAGCACAGTGCTAAACCTCAGCACCATGCCAGTGTCCTTAGACTAGTGTGTATTCCTTTCCCAGGCCTCTTACATCTCCAAGCAGGCTTTTTGAATAAATCTTTAAAAATTATTCTTTTTCCTTAGTTCTTTGAGAATTTCATATAATGTGCTTTGATCACCTTTCCTCTCCCTCCTCTCAGATCAATGTCCCCCTTCCCTACCCACCCAACTCCTTCCTCTTTTTTCTATTTAACCTATCAAGTTCAATTTGTGCTGCCCAGATATTCTTGAATGTGTGGCCTTCCACTGGAGTGTGGGCACTTTCCAGGGTCTACACTCTTAAAACTGATTCTTCCTCTCCCAGAAGAACTATTTCAAGTAGTTCCTTGGCTAGGAGACTTAGTGTCCACTCCTTCCCCATTCCATGTTGGGATTTGTCTGCCTTGTGCTTGCATAGGTCTTCTGCATGCTGTCACAACTGCCATCAGTTCATATATGCTGCTGCGCAGTATGTTCAGAAGATATTATTTATTTTTTTAGTCATCCTCTCTTTGAGTCAGACTCTTTCTGCTCCCTCTTCCATAGTGATGCCTGAGCCTTGGGACAAGGAATATGATATAGAGTCCCATTTAGGGCTGAACATCCTAAAGTCTCTCATTCTCTGTATACTGACCAGTTATGGTTCTCTATGCTACTCATCATCTATTGAAGACAGAAGCTTCTCTGGTGAGGGTTATTGCAACAGTATATTATCCTCACACAGGACACAAGAAACTAAACTAAAAGATTTTAAGTCATTTGTTTGAGAGTGTCACATAGCACAACTTGTTTTTCAAATTAAGTTTTATTTAAATTAAAAACAGTTTTATTTTACATACCAATCCCAGTTCCCTCTCCCTCCTGCCCTCCCATTCCCCCCACCATTTCCCTATCTCACCCCCTATCCACTCCTCAGGGAGGGTGAGACCTCCCATGGGGGGATCATCAAAGTCTGTCACATCATTTGGGGCAGGACCTAGGCCCTCCCCCCGTGTATCTAGGCTGAGAAAGTATCCCCCCATAGGGAATGGGCTCCCAAAACCCATTCATGCACTAGGGATAAATACTGGTTCCATTGCCAGAGGCCCCATAGATTGCCCAGGTTCCCCAATTGGCACCCACATTCAGGTGGCCTGGTTCGGTCTTACGTTGGTTCTCCAGATGTAGACTGGGATCTGTAAGCTCCCACTTGCTCAGGTCAGCTGTTTCTGTGGGTTTCCCCAGCATGGTCTTGACCTCTTTGCTCATCACTCCTCCTCTCTACAAACGAATTCCAGGAGTTCATCTCAGTGCTTAGCTGTGGGTCTCTGCTTCTGCTTCCATCAGCTACTGTACGGAGGCTCTAGGATGGCATTTAAGATAGTCATCAATCTCGTTATAGGGGAAAGGCATTTAAGGTAGCCTCTCCACTATTGCTTAGATTCTTAGTTGGGGTCATCCTTGTGGATCCCTGGAGATTCACCTAGTACCGGATTTCTCATTAAGCCCATAACGGCTTCCTCTAGTAAGATATCTTTTTCCTTGCTCTCCTTCTCTGTTCTTCCCCCAACTAGACTTTCCTGATCCCTCATGTTCTCCTCCCCCCTCCACTTCTCTCCTCCACCTTCTCCTTCCTCCCCCCTCCTCCCCCTGCTTCCAATTTACTCAGGAGATTTTGTCCTTTCCCCCTTCTCCAGGGGTGTGTGTCTCTCTTAGGGTCCTTCTTGTTTCCTAGCCTCTCTGGAGGTGTGGATTGTAGGCTGTTAATCCTTTGCTCTATGTCTAATATCCATATATGAATGAGTACATACCATGTTTTTCTTTCTGTGTCTGCGTTACTTCACTCAAGATGGTTTCTTCTAGTTCCATCCATTTGCCTGCAAATTTCAAGATGTCATTGTTTTTTACTGATGAGCAGTACTCCATTGTGTAAATTGTCACATTTCTTTATCCATTCTTCAGTTGAGGGACATCTAGGCTGCTTCCAGGTTCTGGCTATTACAAATAATGCCACTATGAACATGGTTGAACAGATGTCCTTGTGGTATGAATGCGCATCCTTTGTGAGCTTCCAGAGGCATCACCATCCCTGACTTCAAGCTCTACTATAGAGCTATAGTAATTAAAATAACTTGGTATTGACACAAAGCAGACAGGTGGGCCAATGGCATCGTATTGAAGACACTGATATTAATCCATACACCTATGAATACCTGATTTTTCACAAAGAAGCTAAAATTATACAATGGGAGAAAAAGCATCTTCAACAAATGGTGCTGGCATAACTGGATGCTGACATGTATAAGATTGCACATAGATCCATATCTATCACCATGTACAAAACTTAAGTTCAAATGGATCAAAGACCTCAACATAAATCCAGTCACAATGAACCTCTTAGAAGAGAAAGTGGGAAGTACCCTTGAACGTATTGGCACAGGAGACTACTTTTTTTTAACATAACACCACTAGCACAGATCCTGAGATAGACAATTAGTAAATGGGATCTTTTGAAACTGAGAAGCTTCTGTAAGGTAAAGAACACAGTCAACAAGACATAATAATGGCAGTGTACAGAATGGGAAAAGATCTTCACCAACCCCACATCTGACAGAGGGCTGATCTTCAAATTCTACAAAGAACCCAAGAAACTAGGCATCAAACCACCAAATAATCCAATTAAAAAGTAGGGTACAGATTTAAATAAAGAATTCTCAAAGAGGAATCTCAAATGGCCGAAAGGCTCTTAAGAAATTGCTCAACATCCTTAGCTATCAGGGAAATGCAAATCAAAACAACCCTGAGATACCATCTTGCACCTGTCAGAATGGCTAAAATAAAAAACACAATGACAATTTATGCTGGAGAGGATGTGGAGAAAGAGGAACACTCCTCCACCGCTTATGGGAATGCAAACTTGTACAGCCACTTTGGAAATCAATATGGTGGTTTCTCAGGAAAATGGGAATCAGTCTACCTCAAGATCCAGCAATTCCATTCTTAAGCATATACACAACTTGTTACACAGCCAGTCAGATTCAGAGAAAATAATCAAATCTGGGATTGTCTTTCCTAAAGTTTGGCCATGGGACATAGCTCGATGGTAAAGTGCTTATTGGGGACACAGAGCCCCTGTGTTCAACCCCTGAAAAACAAAAAGACTGCTCCTCAGATAAAGGCTATTCCTCTTGACTGCTTGATAGTTCACTTGTTTTTGATACTTCCATATTTTTTAACTACTAGGATAATGGTTCCCAGCATTTAGCTTCCATTAGAGTAAGTTGAAAAGCTATTAAAGCACAGATCACTTGGCTTTGGCCACTGGTGTGGGACTTTGTTCATTGAAGGCGGAGTCTCCAGGTTTGCACCTCTGATGAGTTCCTAGGTGATGCTGATGGTACACCGCGGGGGACTGCAGATGGAGAAACAAGGCCCTAGACTATCATCCCCACATTGTTAGCCATTATTTTTCATGGGAATATTTGAGATATTTCTCAAGCCTGTCTCCTGCTTTGTTACTCTCTAAATTCAGAGTTTCTCTAGAATCCTGTCAACATATTCCTCAATTTTCCTTCCCAAATGCATCCTAGATTTATTAGTAAAACTAGTGTCTACTAACCCACATTTTCCCCTTAAAGTTCTATTGTCTTTTCCTTTCAGTTACCAGTATCATTGCTTCATTTAGGGGTCTTGTCATTGCTTACTTGAATTATTGCAGTGTCTTCAAAACTGTCCCCATTAAAATAATTACCTCTATGCTGGCAATATGCTACTCTTTCTAAACCATAGACTGATTATATCATCACTAAAAAATGTTGGGTTCCCAGTATTCACAGGGCAATGCTTCTAGTGTGACTTGCAACTTACTTTTCTCTAATTTCTAAACTGTGTACTCAAGTGTCATCACACCTCAGTATTCCTGAGATGTATTGTCTACTTTTATACTCTGTGTACATGTTTTTGATGCATATATAGAACAACCCTTTCTCCTAATTCCTTTTTGCTGCAAACTCCTTCTCATGTGATAATATCCAATTTAAATGTCATTTGTTCTTCTTATTTTCCAAGTAACTGTTACCTAGAATGTTTTGTTTAATACAGCAGTGAGATTCTGTCTCTTGGGACTCATGGTTATAGCAGCAGCATATAGGCTGGGTGCTACCTGAGGTCAGGTAGCCTTATCTTCATAATGGCCAGGTCCAACCACCAGACTGGTACATAATCTCTACAAATATTCATTGAATGAAATTCTGTCTAATACTTTGTGACTTCAGAACATCTTGCCATTGTAGTAAATGAATTCCTACTATGGAAAATGTGTATATCCACAATGGTAGGGTTTGGGGTCTTCACTGGAGTATAGTATGGAGAGATTGTTCTGAGGCTACTCATTTTAATTTTTTAAAATGATAATAGGCCACAGGCAGTTTCCACTCACTAAGAAACACATAGGCTATTCTAGGTGTTGGCTTAGCACTGCATCAGCAGGAGCTATCCTCTATTTACAACCCCAGGGGAGATGTCAGTGGTCCTCAGTAGGCTCAGCATGGATTTCATTTTGCTCTGAGGGTGTTGACAAAAACCTAAGATTGTTATATGGGGAGAAGTTTGGCTTTTGCTCAGTATCGGTCACCATTACAGGCTGTAGGGAATTCTCAGCCTAACCGCAGACATCAGATGTCTGCCTTAATGGATCCCACATGGGGAAGGGCAATGCTCAGCGTAGAGTGAGGCTGGCAGGCTTCATTCTGGCTGCTTGGTTTTCACTGGGGGGGGGATTCAAGAGGGATTGTCCTAGAACAGAAACCTCTATTTGATTCTAGGCAGGAAGCAAAGCCAGCCTCCTGATTGTCATGTGGCTTGTTCTATGGGGACAAAACCCTAGTGAGGGCTCACACACTGCTGTGGTCTCTCCCTCAGTGTCCCATGCCATTTCTTCCCTTTCTTCCTCTTTTGCTTCCTTCTTCATTTTCTGCCTTATTGTTTGTTTTGGGGTCTGTCATTCATCAACTTATTAATGTATAGTTTCAATACCAGCATGTTTAGCTTTCAATTGGGGACAAGAGCTCCTATTAAAGTCAGTGCTATTTAAATAAAAATTGTTTTCTATAGTATTTTGTCAAAGGCTATAAAATGTACTGATTAACAAATATGAATCTCATGATACTGTTATGGAAGAACCCATTTCACCAATTCAGTACATTAAGTTGTAGAGATAAGAACAAACAAACAAGCAAACAAATAACAACAAAATGATTGAATAGAGGCATGTGGCAGATAACCATTAAAGGATAAATTACATTGACTCTCAAAATCTGATGTGAGTTGAAGAATTCTCAGGTGTAAACGTTGAATGAGTCTAATAAACAGCTAGGTGTGCTGCTCACCATAATTCCAGCACGTAGGAAGTCTAAGGGCAGCCTGGGATATACAGTGAGACCTTGTCTCCACCCTCCTCAAATCACCAAACTGTTATAAACAGATTGTAACTACTAAAGAAAAGCAAGTGCTTTATTATCCATGATAAGCACATGGTATTCTAGATTTCTCCTGGCTTGAGAAGATACATAACCCTATGGGACTCTCTCAGCCCAGGGTCTTGCCATGGCTTTCTGTTTTAAGACCCTTGGCTAGCTTTCCTAGCTGCATGACATGGTACAATTTTTCTTATGCCTTGGCTTGAATTGCCTACATTGGGGAAAAAAGTGCTCAGACACCTACCCCTCTCTAGACTGTTTCCCACCGTTACCTTATTCCCATTAAATGAATAGTAAAGTATATTTATGTTCTCCTGTTATGAGGCATTCTATTTTTAGAGAACACTTCAAGTGGAAAGCATGAAATGATCTTTATGATTTAATTGATAAAGCTTTTGAAGATGTGTGCTCAGACTACGGAGTCAAGTTGTGACCCAGGTAGTTGTCTCACATTGTTGGATCTCCTAGGAAGAAATATATAACCTCATGGTCCATCCGTCTGTCCATCTGTCCATCCATCCATCCATCCATCCATCCATCCATCCATCCATCCAGTCATTCAGATTAATTGCCTGAATCTAGAGAACAAGGGAAAACAACCCTACAAATAATGACTTCCAGTGGAAGAAGGGCGGAAGCTTTGTTTCAGTTCTGTGAAGTATGTTTGCAGTTATGATTGACCCAAGAACAAACCTCTGAAATGAATGAGCTTTCCCATGCACCAAAGGGCAGAAAAGAGCAGCAGAGCAAGGACCAATGACTGATGTGCACCCAACACCCTGAGGAACTAGGAGTTATTAGAACAGGTAGGGAGTTAGGCAGACAGGCAGGGAAGGGCCGTGACTAAGTTCTAAAGATAGCAGCTTTTCCCTTACTCTTCTGACCTGAGACAAAAGGCTGGGAGTTTAAAACAAAGGCCCGGTGGGCTTTCTGTTTCACCAATATGGTTCCCTTTCTGTTGGATCACAAAGGAGGGATTAGATCAGGTTCACCAAGTCCGGGTCCCCATGTTTGCCCAGACTGGCTAGCCATAAAGTAGGGGAGGAAGAACTCCCAAAGATACTTAATACCCCTGGCCCTAGAAAAGAGAATGAATTTTGGGTTCTGGAGTCTGCTTTCAAGGTTTTCCATTTGTGTGCTTTGTGCTCTCTCTCTCTCTCTCTCTCCCTCTCTCTCTCTCTCACTGTATGTATGTGTGTGCATATGTGCATATGTATGTGTGTGCATATGTGCATATGTATGTGTGTGTATGTTTGTGCATGTGTGTGTATGTATGTGTGCATGTGTATATGTATGTATGTGTGTGTATGTATGTGTGCATGTGTGTATGTATGCATGTGTGTACATATGTATATGTGTGTGTATGTATTTATATATGTGTATGGGCATGTGTGTATATGTGTGTATGTGTGTATATGTATGCATGTATGTATGTGTGTATTATGCATGTGTGAATGTGTGTATGTGTGTGCATATGTGTGTGTATGTGTGTATGTATGCATGTGTGTATGTATGTGTGTGTGCATGTGTGTATGTATGTGTGTGTGCATGTGTGTATGTATGTATGTGTGTGTGTGTGTGTATTCTTGCCTCTAATAAGTGTGTGTATTCTTGCCTCTTTCTTCACTGCTTGATTTTGTCAGCTCTCTGTGCGATTTTTGCTGCCTTTTACTTCTTGAAATGGCAGAGGAAATGCACAGTATCAAGACCCCTAGATGGCAACAACTGGAGTGGCTAGAATTCCATGTGGAAATGTGTTGGTATGATGCTGATGTTTATTTGAATAGAAGATCTTGAATTCTACACCAAGAGCTTTCAAGTAAAGCTCTTAATTCTCTTTAATACACATGTCTTGATTTAAGGCTTTTAGCTGTTTTGCAATAGAGAGCTTGGTAGGTCATGTATAAGAGTATAAAAATTCTTGCTTCTGAATTTGGGCATCAAAAACTTCCAGTAGAAGGAATATTTTTAAATTAATTGAACAGGAATAAAGCCCACTAACTTAGGTAGTGATTGTCTAGCCAATGGCCCTGAATACTTTCTTTGTTCTTGGCTGAAACCTTATGCCCATTTCCAGATGGGCTAGCTGGGAGAGTCTAGTTTTCACAGATTTCAGTGATATAACCTGCTTTTCCAAACTCTTTTTTTTTTTTTTCAGTTCGAAACCCAGAAGGACAGATAAAACTTTATTCCAAAGGAGCAGACACTATTTTGTTTGAGAAACTCCATCCTTCCAACAAAGACCTGCTGTCTTTGACATCAGACCATCTCAATGTAAGTGCCCCATGGTAAAGTCAGCAAGGAGCCCTTTGCCATCCCCTATGATACTTGTTAATGAATATCAGCAAATGAGCTGACTTCTAAAATAGAAAGCAGCTGGGAGCCATGCCACAGAGGGCAGTGCCAGGGAGCATCTGGGAACTGTCTGCCTCTCAGAGTTTTCAGCACAGGTGGATTAGCACAGGATGGCTGCGAGAGCCAGGGTCAGTCAGGGCCACCACTTTCTGGCTGTGTTTAGATGGTAAGAGAAAGTCTCTAGAGACAATCAGCTTTGCCCTGTGAGGCTTCTTTCACTCCTGCTACAAAGTGTGAGGCCCTTATGTGTTCTGGGTGTCAACCCACACACCCTAGGACTAGTGTGTTATTTCTTTCAGAAATTTTCTGAAGGGCATAGAGGTGATCTTTGTACTTTCATTCCCCTCTCAAGGGTAAGGTCTATGAAATTATAGGGGCGCAGTGGACATAAACCTGTTGTCCACCTGTCACGCTAAAATTTTATTTGAGTTTCTGGTTGAGTCCTGTGAACTTTGCAGGAAATAGTTTAAAATTCTCATTGTATTAGTTTTTCTTTCTCCACTGAAGATGTGTGTTCCTTTTTCAGGTGATCTTTTTATTTTAAAACATCCCCTCAATTCTTCTAAAAGCAAATAAAATGTAAATATTCTGACTGACTTTAAGTTTAAAGTGATTGTTTAGTAATAATTGTTACAAACATAGCTGTTTTTTCCTTTTTAATAGAGCATTCTTGATTTCCTTTTAATGTTTTCCAGAGACTGACATGGTCTTTTAGTTTTCTTAATTAAAGCAATATTGGAGCAATAACTATATGATTTTTGTCATTACCCAAACACTAAGGCTCTAGACATTTTCCTTTCATATTAAAGTTTAATTTGGTCTTTTCATTTTCCTTAGCAGTCGAATTGTTTTTAGGATAGATCAATTGGACCTGCCCTTCCCTTCACTCACGTTCAGCATTTCTGTTTCTACATTGTATGCTTGTAAATTTGTACTTAATCATTGATTTTTGGATAGTTTAACGATAGGAAAAGGCCTTGCTCAAATGACCATTTCGGATTAAATGTGTGTTTCATAACTAATTAGATGACTTAAGGCATCTGTCCCCTTTTCTAGTGTCCTCTTAGAGTTGATTCACTGTTGTGTGGAACAGAGAGGGAGGCATTGGTAATGCCCAGTGGGGTTGCCAGTTAAAGGCAAAGACGCGTCTGTGTGAATTGAGAAGACAAAGGATGGTTTTAAGGCTGTAACTAGATTTTCAGATCAGAAGGGGATGTGGTGATGTTCTTGGGAGATAGGGCTTGTAAATGTGCATGAAATGTCCCAGATACTACCAACTGCCTGGGTGATGAATTCAGTTAATGTTTCCTGTGGTCTTGCTGGGCTAAAGCACATCTTTGCACCACCCACCAGCTTTTCTTTTTACTCAGTAGGGTGAATCATGATTTAGCACATGTCTGATTACAATACTCTATCTTCACTATACAGAAAAATGATAGAGAAACATGCTTGGTGACCAGCAATGCCCAAAGGAGCAGAAATGGCTATTAAAATGCTTTGCTCGCAGTTTGGAAGCCCATAAAATGACCACTGGAGGCAGAAGTGACGTATGAGGTTTTCAACATTGCCCCCAAACTCAATCTACTTATGTTTCTAGCTAATGTGGCTGTGTGAGACACACCACAGCCACCAATCTCCGACCCTCCACGCCTGTTAGAAGGATAAATTACCAGAAGAATCGTAGGAGATTGTCAGTTTATTTGGCTTGTATGTCTGGGTCCATCATTGGATATGACAAGGCAGGAATTCAAGGCAAGAACCACAACAAGAAACCATTTATTTTTACATAGCCCAGAACTACCTGCCTGGGATGGTCCTGCCCACAGTGGACTAGGCCTTCCTGCATCAGTTAATCAAGACAACACCCCATAGACATATCCAAAAGCCAATCTGATCTGGGCAATTCCTCAGCTAAGTTTTTTCTTTTAGATGACTCTAGGTTGTGTCAGATGGACAATTAACATAAACTTAGGAAAAGTAACATAAACTTCCCAATATTTGATTAATCATTAGAATTAACTCCGTGAAATACAATTTCTAACAAATAATGAGTGTTTGAGCTGGTCTGAATTGATGATGATTTCTTCAAGACTTCAAAGAAGTTTTTTTTTTTTTTATTAAACATGAAAATGAAATGTAGTAAAGAAGAAAAACATTTCACAGAGGGTCTAGAATGAAAGAGACCCAAGACAGCCCTCAAAGTTTACATGTGTAGTATCTTTTTCCTTTCTCTTCCTGTTCCTCCAAAGGTTATTATCATAACCATAAGTAGCACAGCAGACTTCTCTTACTCAGCTATTTGGCATCTACTTATTCATCAGTTATTGCTTCTAGTTTCTGTTATGGAAATTTTCAAGTAGATACAAAAGTAGGACTCATTGAATTTTCATCAAGGATGCTTTATTGGGGCTTGGGTGAGGAAAACTGGTTGAGAGGCTGATACAGTCTATAGAGGGCTTCCTCTGTTTGCCTGGAGAGCTGTGGCTTCTCCAAGGGCTTCTCCTCATCACTGGGAGTTAGGGCTGTGACTTATGGACAGGAATGCTTCCTATAGGCAAAGGTTAGACACTGATGCAGTTATTTCCAACAGATCTTCCACACCCTTCCTTTCTTCCCAATTAGAACACTTCAATAGGCATTTTCAGGAGCTTTTAGGGGAAAGCTAGTGCCCCTGCTGGTCAAACAACATAGGCATGAACAAAAAAACACAACCATTCTTTCCTGTACCTGAGGAGATATGGAGTTAGAGTCAGAATGGCCACACAGTGCTCTTGGGACAAAATGGATGTGAGCGAACCTCTCCACATGTTGTGGGGACTTTTGCTGTATTTATTGTTGTCTACCTGTTCCTAAGATTACAATTACATCTTCTCTTACAGGAATTTGCAAGTGCAGGCCTTCGAACCTTGGCAATTGCTTATAGAGACCTTGATGACAAGTACTTTAAAATGTGGCAGGAGATGCTTGAAGATGCAAAAGCTGCCACCACTGAGAGGGATGAACGGATATCTGGGCTGTATGAAGAAATCGAAAGAGATTTGATGGTATAAGTTTGGAAGTGTGATGCTGTATGCTTAAGCCATTGGCTAAATCGTCTTTTAATAGCAGATGGCTCTCTTTCAATGGTGAATCTAGATTTATATGCTGACTTTGAGCTTACTATGTGTGGACCCAGTGAATCTAGTGGACTGGCTATTTGTCAGCCAATAACTTATGCAATGGAAATCCTCCCAAACTAAAGGAGAGTAGACATCTTATTTATCAACTCCAGTTATCATTGATGCAGCATATTCATTTCCTCTCTCTGCTTTGTGATCTGCATTTTTAGTGTAGAGACAAATGATGTGGAGAGCAGGGCTGTAGCTCTGAATTTCTCCAGGCCAGGAGACTCTGATGACTACCCAGAGTGGGGTCTGTTTTGGAAGTCACTCTTCTCAGAGACTCTGGTGACCAAGGAGCTTGGTAGCTGGGAATCGTAGGAAGCATGTCTCATCACTGGGGTGAAAACTGAAAAACTTTACTTTTTATTAGATCAACTGCTGACTTCTTAATTCATAGAGTAGCACAACCTTTTGTCTCCTCAGTTTCTTGACTATGAGGTGAGGGCTTCTTCTTTGGGCCTCTCCTTTGCTGCTGAAAGTGGAGAAGCAGCTAGGGACTTCTTAAATCATTAGAGGTGGAGTAGCCTCTGTCCATTTATGCCAGCATGTTCTCTCAACATCCCATCTCCCTCATGTAAATTCTACCTCCCTGGGTTTCTGTTATTAAGTAGGCTAGACTTGTATACTTCCTTTTGGGTTTCTACCAGATTGATCGATTTATATACATAATATGATGCTTACTCATACCCACATTTTATAAGTTGTCTTCATTTTCCGTTCCTTTCTTTAAACTCTGCCTGAAAGCTATGGATGTTACATGTGTTCTTTGTATGTACTAACATGTTATTCTTTACTCTCCAATGAAGCTACTAGGTGCCACTGCTGTAGAAGATAAGTTACAAGAAGGTGTTATTGAAACAATTACGACTCTATCACTAGCCAATATTAAGATCTGGATTCTAACAGGAGATAAACAAGGTAATTTGGAAATGGGTGACAATGCTGTTTGAAGAGGGAGAATTAATTCTTTGAAAAAAGTTGTTAATCAGCAACTTTAAGTACTTCAACATTTTGCTAGTTTTCTACATAGGAAAAAGTTGAAATGCAAAAAGAAAGTTTTTTTTTAAATATGAATTTATTATTTAAAACTAACAAAAATACCTTCCATAGTATATTCTCTGGTCAGCAGAGTTTCTGTACAGTTGCCACTCTTACAGAGAAATGGTCTTAACATGCTTTTCATATGAGCATTGTTCTGTTTGTACCAAAGGGAGACACTGGAGACCTTACATTGTCCTTTAGTTTCCTGATGCCAGGGAGATGTGGAAAATCTTCTAGAAGAACTCAGGGTGTTGAGTAATCTCCTGAGAGTCTAGGGACAACAGATGTTTCTCAGCTGTTTCTGGTCATGTTACTGTATCTTAGCATCTATTGCAGCTGTACCAATGCACCTGGCTGAATTCCAGGATTGTCTGTGCAAACTGAACTACTTTTAGGAATGAGCAGACACTAAGTGAGTGTTGTTCTGTTTTAAAATTTAATTTTATTTATTCTTTTGTTTTTACATCTCAATTGAAGTGTAATCCCTACAGCTGCTCTATCCACTCCTCTGCCACTGATTCTCTTTAGATACAGTGAGCCTCCCATGGATATCAGCCAGCCATGGTATATCTAGTTGCAGTGTCACTAGGCAACTCCTCTTCCATTAAGTCCGGATGAGGCAATCAGTTGGAGGAAAGGACCCCCAAAGCAGGCAATATAGTCAGAGTCAGCTCCTGATCTCACTGTTAGAGTCTCACACAATGACCAAGTTACTCATCTGTGACATGTATGCAGAGGGCCTAGATCAGCCCCATGAAGGCTCCCTGGTTATTGGTTCAGTGTCTGTGAGTCCCTATGAACCCAAGTTAGTTGGTTCTGTGGATTTTGTTGTGGTGCCCTTGACCATACTGGGTTCTGCAATCCTCCCCCACCTTCACAGGATTCTCCGAGCTCTGCCTAATGTTTGGCTGTAAGTCTCTGCATCTGTTTGCATCACTTGCTGGATGAAGCCTCTCTGATGACAGTTGGGATAGGCACCAATCTGTAACATAGCAGAGCATCATTAGGAACCCTTCATTGACTTTTTTGCCATTCATGTTTGATTCTATCCTAGGGCTCTGGGCTATCCTGCATCTGGGTCCTGGCCCTCAGGGGGTGAGCTCCCTCTCAGGGTATGGGTCTCCAGCTGGGCCAGTCATTATTTAGTCACTCCTGAAATTTTTGCATCACCTTTCCCCAGCACACTTTGTATGCAGGACAAATTGTAGGTCAAAGGGTTTGTGGCTGGGTTGGTGTCCCAATCCCTCCATTGGAAGTCTTGCCTAATTAGAGGAGATGGCTGGTTCAGGCTCCAGATCCACTATTGCTAGGAGTCTTAGCCAGGGTCACCCTCACAGATTCCTGGGAGATTCCATTGCACTAGGTTTCTAGCTCATCCCAGAGATGCCCACCACCCCCCTCCCCATTCCAGTTGTCTCTCCCGGTACTCTTTCCCTCCATCCTCCCTCAACCTAATCCCTCCTGTTACTACCCCTTTACCCCCTTACGTGCCCCTCCCCTTCCACTGGCAGTGTCCATTCTATTTCCCCATTCACAGTGATATTCATGTGTCCCCTGCCCTCTTGAAACCTCCTTGTAACCAAGTTTCTCTGGGTCTGTGGATTGTAGCTTGGTTCTCCGTTACTTTATGGCTAACATCCACTTATGAGTGAGTACATACCATGTTTATCTTTCTGGGTCTGGGTTACCTCACTCAGGATGATCTTTTCTTTTCTTTTCTTTTTTTTCTTTTTTTGGTTATTCAAGACAGGGTTTCTCTGTGTAGCTTTGGAGCCTATCCTGGCACTCACTCTGGAGACCAGGCTGGCCTCGAACTCACAGAGATCCGCCTGCCTCTGCCTCCCGAGTGCTGGGATTAAAGGCGTGTGCTACCAACGCCCAGCAGGATGATCTTTTCTAGTTCTATCCATTTTCCTGCAAATTTCCTGATGCCATTTGTTTTTAACAGATGAGTAGTACTCCATTGTGTAAGTTACCACATTTTCTTTATCCATAATTCAGCTGAGCGTCATCTAGGTTGTTTCCAGGTTCTGGCTGTCATGAATAATGCTTCTATGAACATAGTTGAGCAAATTTCCTTGTGGTGTAGTGGGGCGTCCTTTGGGTATATACTCAGAAGTGGTATAGCTTTGTCTTGAGGTAAATGGATTTATGATTTCTTAAGAAACCACCATATTGATTTTCAAAGTGGCTGTACAAGTTTGCACTCCTACCAGGTGTGGAGGAGTGTTCCCCTTGCTCCACATCCTCTCTAGCATGAGTTGTCACTTGTGTTTTTGATCTTAACCATTTTGACAGGTGTAAGATGGAATCTCGGTGTCATTTTGATTAGCATTTACCTGATGGCTAAGGATGTTGGACATTTCTTTAAATGATACAAGGCCATTAGAGATTCCTCTGTTGAGAATTCTCCATTTAGATCTGTACCTCGTTTTTTTTTTTTAGTTGGTTTATTTGGTTTGTCAATGTCTAGTTTCTTGAGTTCTTTATATATTTTGTATATTAGCCCTCTTCAAATGTGGGGTTGGTGAAGATCTTTTCCCATTCTGTGGGCTTCTGTTTTATCCTTTTGACAGTGTCCTTTGCCTTACAGAAGCTTGTCAGTTTCTTGAGGTTCCACTTGTTAATTGTCAATCTTGGTGCCTGTGCGATTGGTGTTCTGTTCAGGAAGCTGTGTCCTGTACCAATGTGTTCAGGGCTATTCACCACTTTTCCTTCAATCAGGTTCAGTGTATCTGGTTTTGTATTGAGGTCTTTGATCCACTTGGAATTGAGTTTTGTGCAGGGTGATAGATATGGATCTATTTCCATTCTTCTACATGCTGACATCCAGTTATACCAGCACCATTTGTTGAAGATGCTTTCTTTTTTCAGTTATATAATTTTTGGCTTCTTTTTCAAATATCAAGTGTCTATAAGTGTGTGGATTTATGTCTGGGTCTTCAATTCAATTCCATTGACCCACCTGTCTGCTTTTATGCCAATAAAATTTGATTTATTTTTTATTACTATTGCTTTATAGTAGAGCTTGAAATCAGGGATAGTGGTACCCCAGAAGTTCTTTTATTGTACAGATTGTTTTAGCAATCCTGGATGTTTTATTTTCCCATATGAAGTTGAGTATTGTTCTTCTAAGATCTGTAAGGAATTGTGATGGAATTTTGATGGGAATTGCATTAAATCTATAGATTGCTTTCAGTAAAATAGCCATTTTTTTTACTATGTTAATCCTACTGGATCCATGAGCATGGGAGATCTGATATCTTCTTCAAAGATATCAAAGATTGTTTTCTTTAAATACTTGAATTTCTTGTCATACAGGTCTTTCATTTGCTCGGTTAGAGTTACCCCAAGATATTTTATATTATTTGTGGCTATTGTCAAGGGTGTTGGTTCCTGGTTTCTTTCTAAGCCCATTTATCATTGTATATAGGAGGATTTTTTTGAGTTAATTTTGTGTTTAGATACTTCACTGAAGGTATTTATCAGCTGTAGGAATTCCATGGTAGAATTTTTGGGGCTGCTTATATATATCATATTATCTGTCAATAGTGATACTTTGACTACTTTCTTTCCAATTTGTATTCCCTTTATTTCCTTCTGTTGTTGTATTGTTCTAGCTAAAACTTCAAGTATGAAGTATTATATTGAATAGGTATGGAGAGCGTGGGCAGCTTCATCTTGTCCCTGATTTTAGTTGAATTGCTTTAAGTTTCTCTCCATTTAATTTGATAGTGGCTATCAGTTTGCTATATATTGCCTTTGTTAGCTTTAGGTATGTCCCTTTTGTTTCTGATCACTCCAAGACTTTTAACCTGAAATGGTGTTGGATTTTGTCAAAGGCTTTTTCAGCATCTAGTGAGATATTCATGTGTTTTTCTTTCAGTTTGTTTATATGGTAGATTACATTGACAGATTTTCGTATGTTGAAACATTTCTGTATCTCTGGGATGAAGCCTACTTTATCATGGTGGATGATCTTGGTGTGTTCTTAGATTTGGTTTGCAAGTATTTTATTGAGTATTTTTGCATCTATATTCATGAGGGAAATTGGTCTGTTACCTTCTTTTTTTATTGAATCTTTATGTAGTTTGGGTATCAGGGTGACTGTGGCCTCATAAAAAGAATTTGATAATGTTCCTTCTGTTTCTATTTTGTGGAATAATTTGAGGAGTATTAGCTCTTCTTTGAAGTTCTGGTAGAATTCTGCCCTAAAGCCATTCAGCCCTGGGCTTTTTTTGCTTGGGAGACTTTTTAATGATTTCTTCTGTTTCCTTGGGGTTTACAGGTCTATTTAAATTACTTACCTGATTGTGATTTAATTTTGGTAAGTACTATCTTTTGAGGAAATTGTCAATTTCTTTTAGATTTTCCAATTTTGTGGAGTACGGGTTTTTGAAGTATGACCTAATGATTCTTTGGATTTCCTCAGTGTCTGTTGTTACATCTCCCTTTTCATTTCTGATTTTGTTAAATTTCATGCTTCTAAGGTTTTTGAATAAGGGTGTATCTATCTTGTTGATTTTCTCAAAGTACCAACTCTTTGTTTCATTGATTCTTTGTATTGTTCTCTTTGTTTCTGTTTTATTGATTTCAGCACGGAGTTTGATTACTTCCTGTCATCTACCTCTCTTGGGTGTGTCTGCTTCTTTTTGTTCAATAGCTTTCAGATGTGCTATTAGGTCTCTAGTATGAGAATTCTCTAATTTCTTCATGCATTTTTTCCTTTAAAGAGTATGAAATGTCCTCCAACTCTTTGAGTAATTTTGATTTGAAGTCTATTTTGTAAGATATTAGGATAGCTACACCAGCCTGGTTGTTATGTCCATTTGATTTAAAAATCTTTTTCTAATCCTTTAATTTGGGGTAATGTCTATCTTTGATGTTGGGGTATGTTTTTTGTATGCAACAGAAAGGTGGATCCCTGTTTTGGTATCTATTCTGTTAGCCTGCGTCTTATTGGTGAATCCTTTCATATTGAGAGTTAATGATCAGTGATTGTTAATTCCTGTTGTTTTGTTGTTCTTGTTGCTGTTGGTTGCATGTGCCTGATTCGAGTGTGTTTTTTTTCTTTGGATTTTGCTGGTATGAGATTATCTATTGCCTATGTTTTTGTGTTTGTAGTTAACTTCCTTGGGTTGGAGTTTTCCTTCTAATACATTCTGTAGGGCTGGATTTGTGGATTCATATTGTTTAAATCTGGCTTTGACATGAAATATCTTGTTTTCTTCATCTATGGTGATTGAAAGTTTTGGTGAGTATAGTAGCCTGGGCTGACATCCATGGTCTCTTAGAGTCTGAAAGACATCTTTCCAGACCCTTCTGGCTTTTAGAGTCTCTATTGAGAAGTCCAGTGTAATTCTAATATGTCTGCCTTTATATGTTACTGGCCTTTTCCCCTTGCAGATTTTAATATTATTTCTTTGTTTTGTATGTTTAGTGTTTTGATTATCATGTGGTGAGGAGACCTTCTTTTCTGATCCAGTCTATTTGGTGCTCTGTAAGCTTCTTGAACCTTTAAAGGCATGTGCTTCTTTAGGTTAGGGAAATTTTCTTCTATGATTTTGTTAAATATTTTTTTTTGTGCTGGGTTTCTTCTTCTTCTATTCCTATTATTCTTAGGTTTGTTCTTTTCATGGTGTACCAGATTTCCTGGATGTTTTGTGTTAGGTGTTTTTAGATTTAACATTTTCTTTGACTAATGAATCAATTTCTTCTATTGTATCTTTAATGCCTAAGATTCTTTCTTCCATCTCTTGTATTCTGCTGGTTATGCTTACATCTGTAGTTCCTGTTCCCTTACCCAGATTTTCCATTTCCTGAATTCCTCCAGTTTGTGTTTTCTTTATCACTTCTATTTTGATTTTCATGTCATGAATAGTTTTCTTCACCTGTTTTCTTTTTCTTGGAATTCTCTGAGGGATCTGATGATCTCTCATTTTTTTTTGTTGTTGTTGTCTTTTCCTCAGTTTCTTTAAGGGAATTTTTTATTTCCTTTCTAGGGACCTCTATCATCTTCATAAAGTTTTGTAAGGTAATTTTCTAAGGCTTTGACTGCACTGGAATATTCAGGTCTTACCGTTGTAGGCTAGCTGGGCTCTGGTAGTGTCATATTACCCTGGCTGTTGTTGCTTGTATTTTCACACTGTCATTTAGTCATCTGGGTTTGGGATGATTATTTCTAGTCCTTAGTTTCTGAGTTTGTCTTTGTTTGATGGATGTTTTGTTGCTTGGTTTCTGTTTCCTCTTTGGTTTTCTAGTCTTTGTGACCTGGATTTTTGGTGGCTGGTGTGATCAATCTCTGGTCTAGTTGGGAGTCTCTGTCTAAGTTGGGTGTTGGCCTTGTGGTGGTCGCTTGCCTTTTGGGGCAGCAAGGGGACTCTGTTCTTTGGATGGTGTGACCTGCACCTGAGCAGCTGGAGTCTAAGCAAGCTGGTACAGCTTGTGCCTGTTCTGACTGGTATGGTCTGTCCCTGAGTGGCAGAAGTCCACTGGGTTTGTGCCCTGGGGCCAGCAGTTGTAATATGGGCCAGAGGTCCCAGGGCTTAGAATCCAAGGAGTGGGTTTTCTGACAGGTGGGTCACTCACCAGTTTTGACTGTTGGGGTTGAAGTTGAGGGCAGTGCCCAGCAGAGGGGATGGCAAGCATTTGGGATGACCTGGGCAGGGGAAAGGACAAAATTGAGTGTTATTTTCTTAAAAAAGAAAAATAGCTTAATAAGTTTTTAATCTGTTGCTAATAATGAAATATTAAAATTTTGTGCTTGATCATTAGGAAACAGAAAATATTCAGCAAACTAGCATGTACCTATTTTCAAGGCTATATCTATTTTGTTAGGTACCTTATTCAGCTTTTAGGGGCTTTTAGATAAGATAAATCATTTCTTTATATAACTGCATATATACAGGTAAATTCCTATTATCTACCTGTCTGTCTGTCTCTTTGCTACTGATTCAGCCTAAGGTCTCATACATGCTGGGCAACACTCTTCCACTCAGCTGCATAGCCCATCCTTTCCTTTTTGAGACAGGATCTCACTAGATTGTTCAGGCTGGCCTTTGCCTCCCATATAGCTAGGATTACAGACCTGTGCCAACTGGTCTATCACTCTGTTTTTCTACCTAAATTATTGATTACAAAATTAAACAGTAGAAAGCTGAAGCCTGAGGTACTCATTGGATCCTTATTCTATGAGACTTAGTGCAGCTGATGTGTCTCTATGGGTCAGCTATTCAATTATTACAGGCACATATGGATTTATCATTATTCATCTGATTTCTTTGCTTTATATAAAAAATATACTGAGATTTCATTATTTGTTTTTTTGCTTTTTGTCTTTTTGTTTTTGCTTTAGGTCAAGACCAACAATTTTGTAGAACTAGCCAGTGTTTCATGATTCTGTACTTTTAGAATAAAATGATTATGAAATTAGAACAGAGATTTCTGTCTACTCCTCCAGGTCTCTGGCACAGCAGTTCTGGGTGGCTTGTGTAATGATTATTAAATTCCATTTTTTTTCATCTAGTGGGAAAAGTATAAAAATTTTCATGCATTTGCCTTCCATTATAAACCTATCACATTACTATTAGATGTTAGCCAATTTAGTATTTTGGCCCTCAAATAAAGTTATTTGCAGTTTCTGATAAAATGTTTTGTTTTGTCTTCATTGTACCTCAGAATCTTAGGATATCTAAATGAGTATTGATTTGGGACTCTAAAGGTGGTTTTGAAATGCTATGGATTTATAGATGTTCCTGATCCTTCAAGGGCTTAGTGAGGGGTGACTGGTTCTGGGTCTCAGGTGTTCGGCCTCTCTCCCAGTCAGTTGTGTTGTATAAAGCTTTGTGTCTTTGCTAACCTCAATGGGTCTGATAGGCTCTGGGGAATACAGCCACAGCTTCAAAACTTCCTGGAAAATGTAACAGAGGTGATCTTTCTCCGTACCAGAAACTGCCATCAATATTGGTTATGCCTGCAATGTGCTGACTGACGCCATGGACGCCGTGTTTGTGGTAACGGGGAACACGGCTGTGGAAGTGCGAGACGAGCTCCGGTATGTGTTGAAAGACAGGGAGAATTTAAATGTGGGAAGGAGAGGGGCTCCCGGGCATTTGGGAAGGCAGGAGTATGTGTCCAGAAGTCCCCAGTGATTTTTTTTCATGTAGGTGTTCCTGCAACTTCCTTAAGTCTCATTCGTGCTAGTCACAAAAGCCAGGATAAAGGTGACATTGGCAACGAATCATTCATTGTCACTGGGACTCCAATATTTCTTAAGTGTTTTAAAAAAAGAATCTCAAGTCATGTATGTTGTTCTTTAAAACTGGTTGTTGGCAAAAACCTGGAAGATATTAAGTGATGATGAATAGCAATGTCACTGAAGGTGCATTTTAAAAAAACACCAGTTCCCTGGCTTCCCTCCATCTTTGCGTCAGGTTTCTGGGGTATGGAGTATTGGAATTAGTATTTAGGATACTGCAGTTTGTGATAAGGTAGCTTTGGAAAACACAGTAGGAGATGTTGTATGGTCAGAAGAGTGAACACTCATCTGGGGCTGCTGAGCACTACATATGAGAAGTTAACACTTTGCTGTTTGTACAGCTGCCACCCAGAGCTAGGAAGTACAAGGGTGCTGGCTGGCACTGGACATGCGATCACATAGATATTAGTTTTGGAGAACTAATACTTCTTGACATTATCTGTTCACTATATTTATTTTCTGTCACTTCATTTGGAAAAAAATTAAAAACCTGCATAATGGAATACAAAATAGTCAATAAAAATGATTTTGCTTTTATTGGCTTTGCAAGATGGGTGAACATATCTAAGTGAAATTTGAGATTATAAAATATACATAGAATGATAGAGTTTGAAAACACACATACACACACACACTACTACACATCTAACTACCTATCAAGCCCTGGAAAATATATGCTAGAGTTCTAAGCAATAGCATCAGGCGACGAGCTTATTTTCTTCTTTTTGGTTATGTTATCAGAAGTTGTATTTATGCAAAGCTTTACAATTGATAAAAACTAAAAACATGTTTATTTTTTAATTTGAAGAAAAATATTCAAAGGAAAATATTTACAGGTAGGTGTAGCATCTCACAACCCATGAGACTATGTTGCTCAGCTAGGCATTTGCTTTCTGTGGAAACTGAGGGGAAAGAGTTACCTAAGGAGAGCTATTGTGTGGAGACCCCCACTATATTCCTATAGCTTTGGGATAAAATATTAAAATCATAAGTTTGTGCCATTTCATGTTATTATGTTATGTTTTTAAATTCAATAAAGTTCATGCAAAAAAAAATATGTCAAAAGATCAGGACCAGAGGGATAGTAGTCACTGCAGGGAGATTACCTAAAGGCTTGTAGTTAAACCTGTTAAACGTGTTTAGATTTTGTCAACACGGATGTATAATTTTTAAGCTACACAGCATGTATACAGCTTGTTTAGTGTCATCAGTACCATTTTGGACACTTGGAATCCCCATCGATATTGCTTCCATTGACATTTTATTGTTGGCAGTGTCCCTGCAGATCTCCAGTTAAGCCCTGCCAGTGTTTCTGAGGTTATTTCATGTTAACGGTGCATGCATCTTCTGCTCTGAAGAAAACAGAGAATGCCTCGTTGTTGGGTCAGACAAGAAAACTCATTCAGTGTTTCATTTCTGTAGCACTGCTCACATGCATTGTCAAAGGAAACATTCATTAAACTGTGACTCTACTGCCTCTGAGTAACCCACTGATGCACCGGGACTCCATACTCCCCCGTTAACCAGTAGAAATTTGAATCATTAGTACTTTTTGCAAATGCAAATGGATCCTGGAGCAGGTAGGTAGGATTAGTTGTGTGATGTAGGCTGATTATAAGATATTAGGCAGTCAGGAGTCCTTTCATGGAGCAGAATGTAACACTGGCCATAACAGCATTTAGACCAAACAAGAGGCATCTTGTTTTGACTTCCCAGGTTCTAGTCTCCCAGGTAAAGTGTTTTAGTAGATCAAGTTTCTTCTCATAAATTGTAAAATTCTAGAACACTACATTTTGAGTTCTGGCACATTCTGCTACAGTTGTCTAGGGTTTCAAAAGTGTTGCCCGTTTTCAGCGGTTCATGGCCTTGTCTAGGCCAATTCCCAATTTTTGATAATGGATCACTGTCTTCAAAGATCTTTGGGGCAGTGAGGGATGGTAATCCTGAAGCTTGCACTAAAAACTTCATTCTTTCTCCCTCCCTCCACTGTTGGTAGGGTAGGGTCTTGCTGTCTCTAATTGCCCTCTGTCATTGTATCGTATTCCATCCTAGAGATAGCCTGTGGCTGCCTATAAGAGTAAAGCCATTTATTGTGGTAACCAACAGCTAGGAATTTGAAGTCCTGGGTTTTCCATGGACTAATCAAGTGGCCAAAAGTGAGCTAGCTAGTCTGTCAGAGGCAGATCCAAGTGCCCAGGAAATAAGCAAGCACAAAACACTGGCCTTTGAATCAAAGTCCAAATTCTTTTCCTTTAAGCACAATGTCATAATTTAAACCTATTTCCTAACAGATATTTTTAATTCTTGCACCTAGAGTGGCAGAAAAGGACTCACAATATGGCCTGTTTCTTCCCCCTTTCTTCTTTGTAGGTTAAATGCATGCCTGAGTACAGGCCTCACACTGCTACACTGTGCCTCCAATGGTATGGGCTGTGAATGCTATAGTCAACTCAACTCCTAATGTGTCTCTGCATTCCAACAGTGTACTAAACTGGCCCTCATTACAAAGCCTAGGAGGCACAGACATTCTTTTGTTTTAGTGTCTGTTTGTACCCTGAGGTTAAACAGTATGGGTGATGCCTACACAATGTACAGATTATCTTTGTTGAAAGCTATCACGGGCAGCTTCCCATCCTCTTAATGAATTGCTTCAGCTTGTATTTGGAGAACTGAGCTCCAGGAAGTAAAAGAAATGACAGCCATGAATACCCCGACCCAGGTCTGACAGTGAGAACATCCAGTCTGGCAGGGAGTGAAGGCCTGGGAGGAGAGAGCATTAGGAATTTTAGTGGAGCATAAAAGTTGTCCCCTTTTCGGCCCAGAAAAGGGCTTATGTGACATGTTAGGAAGACATTGTTGGGTAAAACTCCTAAGTAAATAGAATTTCAGCCAGTATGTTCATGAACTTCACCCTCCTTTGGAATGTTTTTATTCTCCAAGGGGGAACAGGTTGAGTCATTGACACAGCAAATGGGAACTTCACAAAACAGGAAATCCTGGAGATGATTTTTTTTTCATAAACACCTTCTCAAAACCCAGTTTATGGTATCTGCAGCACCGTCATAGAAATGCTCAGGCCCAATTTCATTTTTCCCCATACATCACATGGTACTGTCAATTTTCATGGCTATGGTGATCGCTCCTTGGGTTGCTAATCTACTGTGGAAACACAAACCTTGTGCTTGCCACCGTCATCCTTCATACCTGTTCTGTCTCCTTCCCCACCGTGCATTTCCCACACAGCCCTCCAATTTTACACAGGACTTTTAAGTGAAGGTGCGATTTTGGTCCTGGACAGCAGAAGGCAATGTTGAGCCAGGAAACCAAGGTGGCTTGAGGGCTTCTGGGTTTCTTTTGTAGTTTGTATGTAAATTCTTAGTGATGCATGTTTAAATAACTCAAAAGCTTGAAGGCAAAATGTTTGTTTTAATATGGTCATTCTCTCCTATCAGAGGAACTTCAGTATAAACCTATTTTAATAAATGTTTTCCACACTGGGTGGGGCTTTAGGGAGACAGTTCATTTTGCCATAAGTCAAAACATCTACTAATTTATCCCTTCCTGTTTTATTTTGACATTCATCTATACATGAAGTTGTACATTCAATGCAGTGGCTGGCTTGGGCACCCTTGTGCAGGGGACATCTGCTGGTATTCCTATGATGGAAGCCCCTGTGGTTATGCCAATAGAACTGTTATTTATAACCACGTCACCCACAGGTCTTCTGGGAGGGATTTCTCTTCCTTTAGAGACATCATCACATTTTTGAAAAGAACAGTAAAATTACACTTCGAAGGATACTATGTCATCAAATAAGTTTTCTCTTAAATGGGAGACAAGAGTGAGATGTGTGCAGGACTCCTGTGTCTCTATTGCTGATTAGGTCTAGAGCATTGCAAGGAATTTCCATTGCAAATGGAAATCCTCATGCTTTGGTGTTTGTAGTTTCTTGTAACATTGTATGTCGAATTGATGATCATGCACACTCCACACACACACACACACACACACACACACACACACACACACACATATACAGGGCAGGGGAGGAGAGAGGAAAGTTGAGAAAAGGAGAGGGGAGGGAGGGAGGGAGGGGGAACACTCTGTGATGACAAGGTGTCACTCATTGTCTTTAGCAAATTTAAAATCATTGCATGCCAGACAGTAGTTCTCCAGCCTTTATACACCAAAGCTACCAAGATCCCTTTGTTAAAACCAGCTTTCAGGTAGTTTAAAATGTTTGAGATGATTCTGTTTTCATCATTCTTAGCTGTCTATTTCCTGTGTGTCACCCCCCACACCACAGTTTCTTGACATATACTGCTGTTTGTCCATCTGCTTGCTTGGTAGACCTAATTTTTGGGCCTTAGTCTGTCTGAGTAGTGATGGAGTGAATTAACTTCTAGGCAGTCTTTTTGTGCGGTTACATAGATTAGCTCTGTGTACTGTGTTATGCCTTTTTAATTTTCCTATTCTTTAAGGAAAGCAAAGGAAATTTTGTTTGGACAAAACACGAGTTTTTCCAGTGGACATGTAGTTTATGAAAGCAAGCAGCAGTTGGAGTTGGACTTGGGTGCAGACGAAGCTGTAACAGGAGAATATGCCTTAGTCATAAACGGCCACAGTTTGGTGAGTTTGCCTGAGGCTCTTGTCCTTTCTTTTCCTTTACCCCAATAATTACCTCTTTTGTGCTGTCATAATGAGAACCCCTTTTGTGTTTTTCAAACAAATGACACTACAAGAAATAGGGCGTGCACAGGATATCCTGTTTACAAAAGGGAATACTTCTAGGGTGCATTTCATGCATTGTTTGAATGATCACACTGGATGTGAGGAACTGGAGAAAACAATTCACAGGGAATCCATGAATTTTGCCTAAACAGTCACTTAGGAGAATTGTTTAAGTGCTTTTGTAAGGAGGGATGTCACAGCTCAGTGTCACTTAATTGAAATAATTCAACTGGATGGAAGGGTTTCAGTTACTGCGCTTGCTAATGTTTGTGATTTGCGAGTCATAACCTGACCTTCATAGAATTACCACGCCAAATTATTGCCATTAAGACACCTCTGGTGGTTTTTCTAAATAGCAACATTCTACAGCAAAGCCAAACAATTTGATTTGATTAGGAAATCTGGTTCTTGTCATAATGGAATAAACTTGCATTGTACTTTTTACGCAGTTCAGGTTCCAAGCCCAGAATGAAACTCAAATGGCTCCTCTGAGTCTCTAATTAGAATACAAAAGCCCCGACTTCAGTCTAGCGAAATTATCATTTCTATGTACAAAGAACTTAATCTCACATCTTTCTTTGGCTTTGATGCTCATTTTTCACTTTGGAGTTTGGAAAATGAACGTTTGTTCTTGAAGACAGTTTCTCAGTGGACAAAAGAAGCTGGGTATGAATCTATTAGACCCTCCCTTGTGACCATCTGCCTGTTAGCTCCCAGTGCTCTAAGCTCTATCCAGCTGGATCCCAGACACAGCGATGTGTTGCCTTCCACACCATGGAAAGTTACAGAGCTCAGCTGCAGGCCAAGCTCAGTCGAAAGTTGGTCCAGATGACATGAACTTTTCCCTTGCACAGATGAACACCAACTGAAAGTCATGTCTGTCTGCCGAGTCTGGAGCTGAATGGCCCAGCCAGCGCAGTTGGACAGGATCCCTAATGGGTTATGCTTTGACTGTCCTTTGGGCTTGAGGAAGCCAGCTTGTGGGGGTGGGCTCTCAAGTGGTAATCACCTGCACGGTCTTTCTCTCTGTTGAAACAAAGAGCTAAGATAGATGCTCTTCAGGAGCCCTGTTTGATAAGGACTCACTCAGGGTTTCTCAAATATCTTTTACTTAAAACTAGATTCCTGTTTCCTTTGACCGGGTCTACTATAAAGTGCAAACTGAGCTGTTCCTAGGATGGAAGTTGCTCAGCTAGTTGGAGAGAATTGAGCTCTCTTTCTCAGTAGTTTCTCAGAGTACAGAAAAGCTTTTGGTATGTGGAGCAAGGATATTAAGGGTTGGGGAACCTCGGCTGACGCACAGGTTGCCTGTCACCCTATTGTTTAGGCTTCTGATTTCAACCACAGCACTTTTTTAGGGCCAGCCTCCCATCATGTCCTTTTCATCTTGCCTGCACATGGGCGTTCACAAACCGTAACAGTACAAAAATATATAAAGGAGGCTGGAAGCCTCAAATGTAGAAATCACCATGGTGATTTACAGTTCACATGAAACTATTGAGATGTGGGTGGGCTCTATCTGTTGCTTGTGCTGATTTTAGTGGTTCCCAGAATTTTCCCAACACCTGTTATAGCTGTAGCTCTGTTAAGATAGCATGGTAACAGTCAAAGAGGCACACTGAGGGCATGTCTCTTAATTTTATGTTAAATTTCCTTGGAATTTACTGATGGCTCAATATTCATGCCTTTATTTTTGTTATTGCTTTTGTGACTCTGAATTAACCAGACAATGAAATGGCTCTGAAATTAAGCCAGTTAAGAACCAAGGCATTTGCCTTGACAATTGTCATACATTCTGATGCTGTTCATTTCTGTTTGTTTTGATAATACAGGCCCATGCTCTAGAGAGTGATGTCGAGAATGATCTTTTGGAACTCGCCTGTATGTGTAAGACTGTGGTTTGCTGCAGAGTCACCCCACTCCAGAAAGCCCAAGTAGTAGAGCTGGTCAAAAAGCACAGAAATGCTGTAACCTTGGCCATCGGCGATGGGGCCAATGATGTCAGCATGATAAAAAGTAAGAGGGTATTTTCTCAATGAGGCACACTCCATTCATGGAGTCCCATTTAAGCATGTAGTAATATGTCATAGAAATTATGCATTAATTTAACTTTACCGTGGTTCTTCCATAAATGATACTTTCTGGGCCCAACGCTTCTAAAATTATTAGCATCCCTGCGATACTTTTCTTCAGTTAAATCACTTGTGTATTTCTTGCTTTCTATTGTTTGAGGATGAGGGAAACACCAGCCAGGGCAGGTGAAAGTAGCCAGGGCTGCATTCCTAGCAGCTGGGTTGATCCATCTTAGTTATTTTACTAGTGTAAAATGCAAATTTCCCAACTTTTCCTAGTCCAGTTTTCTCTTATGTAAAACTAGGATCGATACTTAACTATGTGGCTAATTCATGATAGATGTGGAAAACTATAATAATTATTGTAGCTATACAGTTGCAATAAATGACTGACATAAAAGAGGAATAAGTTCCTTAAAAGTACTACACTTTTCTTTGGCAATGAAAGTTCCTCTTTTCCCTCCTAGGTGCTCACATTGGCATTGGCATCAGTGGCCAGGAAGGACTGCAAGCAGTCTTAGCCAGTGACTATGCTTTGGCTCAGTTTAGATATCTCCAACGGCTGCTTCTTGTTCATGGAAGGTGGTCCTATTACAGAATGTGCAAGTTTTTATGCTATTTCTTCTACAAGAACTTTGCCTTCACCCTTGTGCATTTCTGGTTTGCCTTCTTCTGTGGTTTCTCAGCACAGGTGAGTAAAAAGCACCTTGAGTCTCCTCCCACAAATGATACCCACTTTTCTTCATGCTATTTAACTAATAACGAAAAGACACTTCTATATGCCTGGCCTAGGAGAGTATATTCATTAGATGATTAAATGCTGATAAGCTTTGAATCCAACTCACATAAAAGTATATTCATAACTGGAACTTTTCTTATTTATAGAATAACTAATTACTACTTATCACATATCTTTTAGCCTTTATTGCAATGTTTTGGTATGATAACAGTTAAACTCAGTGAAGAGAATTTAGAATATATGCTTAACCTTTAGAAATTTCACACATGCCTGTAATATGTTTGATCATACTACACCCCCTTCACCCCAACTCCTTCTAGATACATTTCAACTCCATCTCCCCCAATTTTATGTCTTAAAAAAACTACAACTTGCCAAGTCCAACTTGTGCTGCCCATAAACTCATGGGCATGGGGCCATTCACTGGCACATGGTTAACTTACCAGGGGCAGTCTTATTAAAGAGAACTGAGTTTTCCTGCACTATCAGCCATCTGTGATTAAAAGCTCCTCAGCCAGGTTGGTGGATCATGAACACCTCTCCCATGCATGCTGGAATGGCGACTGGCATGATCTTTGCAGGTCTTGTGCAGGCAACCATAGTCACTGTGTGCTCATGAGTGTAGAGGGGATTGCTCTTTCATCTCACTGGCATCTTCCTCCCTCTGGCTCTTCCAATCTTTCTGCTCCTTCTTCCCCAGTGATCCCTTGGGGAGATGGGTGTAATATAGATGCCTCATTCATGGCCCCATACTCCACAGACACTGTGCACTCTGATCAGTTGTGAGTTTGTGTTTAAGCATCAGCCACTGCACAAAGAAACTTCTTTGGTGTGATCTAAAGTCTGTACTAATTGATGGGCATAGAGCTGTAGATCTAGAGGGCAATGGGATATTTGACATCGAGAAGAAGCAGTTGATGCTCTGACATCAGAGCTGTTTTGATATCATCCTACCAGCTAAAGTTCATTTACAGGTGATGTTGATATCGTGTAAGTAGTTAGCAAATTCATACACAGTATTCTATTTTATATCTACATGCAGACGACGGTTAAGCTTTAAAAAGAATTTATTTTAAAGTTCTTGGCTATTTCACTATGGATATGATGTATTTTATTCATTGATATGTTGCATTACTCTTCCTCACCCCTCCTCTTGCTTTCCTTGACACCTTTCTTCTCAATAAGGTGTTCTCCTACTTTCATGGAGAACGGATGAGTATATTAAGTGAGGTGATCCAAACTCAGAAAGACAAATGCTTTTAAATTTTTGTATATTTTTAATTAATGTACAAAGTGGTAGATATTCCTTATGCTTTTTTCATACATCCTGAATTGTGACGATGCCCAGCCTGCTTTCCTTGCTGTCCTTGTCCTGTCCCTCCATTCTTGCATGACTCATCCTCTCCCAGGACTCCCCCCTGACTCTTGCATCTCACACACGTGCTCTCCTATCCTATCCTCCCGACTGTGGCCCTATGCACATGGACCCCAGTGCTATAAGGGAGTAGCTATCTTGTGTCTTATTCTCAAGGTATATTTATTTTCAAGAAAGTTTTTTTTTAATTCATATTAGAAATTCCAGTGACTAACGGTTTGTGGTTCAGGTTTTCTGGAGAAATATTTTTGTCCCTCCTTTTAGCTATTGTGTTTCCTTGAAGTTTCTTTCTGTATGGAAACGAGTTCTCCTTTACGTTCCTGCTGAACCTTTGGTTTGTTGCTGTCCTAGCTTCCATGGAGATGCTTGATTCTCTTTTGGTCTAATGTTGGCCTTTATGATGGTGTATCTTAAAGTCAAGGTTGTTCAGGGACCATGGATATTGATATTATTACTTCAGCACATATCCATGGTACCTATTTCTCCTCTTACTCCATGCATAGTGTCATAAAGCAGATGTCATCACAGAACCTTCCTTGGGATGTTCTGGAATAGATATCTCTAGAGTAACATTTTCAAAACCTGATATTGTACTGCTATTAAGCCTAGGTCTGGTGATTTGATAGAAAGTGTGCAGAGCAAAATATGATGCTGAGAATGCTGTTTCCGTGGAAACCATTTGTTTGTTCTTTTCTTCATTAACACTAGTTCAAAGAATAGCCCCATTTTATACAGTAACATTGTGATTTACATTTCAACACTGCAAAGCTTTTCCCCATGCTTTTCACTGTGTTCTTTAGATTATAAAAATATTTGTACCTAAACATATCTTGACTCTATGACTGTGATTATGGCCTTTTGTATTTTTCTTATTGAAACATAATTTGTTTTCAGAGACTGCTCTGCTCTGATTTATGCTCTTAAAGAATTTTATTTTTCTTTATAATATTTGGAACTATTGTTTTATTATAAATTATTTAACTATTCTGATTCTATGGACATTTAGATGTTATCATTTTCCTCTTCTAGTTCAAGTCACCCAATATCACAAACTGCTAGTGGATGCTTGCTTGCCATGTTGGGAAGAAAAGATAAAATAATGAATATGATATTAGAACTTTTCTCATTTGGAAATAGATATCCTACTAAGTCTAAATAGGAAGATTATAAGTGAAGATAATACAGGATCTCAGGGAAGAGGAAAAGTATGAGAAGCTGTGATCACTCCAGGGCTTTTTTAGCGTGCAAGGGAGGACATGGCTTTTCAGATTCAAGTGGAAATCTGAGTGCCTAATAGTCTGGCCACTTCAGGGATGCCTGGTCTGGTTCATGCAGAGGTGTGGAACTGCCACATAAGACTAAGAAATTCCTCCTGTCATATGCATTGCAAGTGGCCTGCCACTGAATTCTCCTAATTGTTTTCAAATCTTTGAGAAAATTTAGTACAGTGTTTTTAGAATTTCTATATTAAATTTGTGATAATCTTTTTATACTTATGTATTTTTTATTCTTGTTTTTGATTTATTTTTTGAGAATGTAATACATGAGTACTGAATTTGCATTATTTCCATCGCTTACTCTCTACGAAACAACTTCTATGTCCCTCCAACTTCCTCTCAGATTCATGGTTTCTTATTTGTTTATTTATTGTTACACACACACACACACACACACACACACACACACACACAAATATAAACAGTAAAGTGATGATGTCTACACATAGCAGAGCTTTGCCTCAGTACACATAACATTTGTTTTTCTCTTAATGGTGTAGCTAAAAAGTCTCGGACAGATATTTAATAAAAGTGAATAGTGTTTCCTATCTCTTATTCCTAATATCAGAGTAAATGCTTACAGTACCCCACCAGCAGTTATGACACCCCTATGTGTATTGATAATAGCTGACCACTTGGGATTGAACAGCCTATCAGTGTCTCATCCCTGGCAAAGATTGATTTTCCATCTCCCTGAAGCCATTAATTGCTTGCAGCTTTTCATCCTAGGATGTGACCTTGTGAGATTTCCCTTGTCCATGTTGACATGTCAGCTGGTGTTGTCATTGTGCTGGTCTCATTGTGTTGAGACTTCATATTGTTGAGATTTTGTGGGTGTAGCTCCTTGTCATGTATACAAGACAGTGTGTCCCATGGGAGATGTCCTTACATCTTACAATTTTTCCACCCCCTCTTCTCTATGTTTCCTGAGCCTTAGGTGCAGTGGTTTTGCTGCAGATATATCAATTGTGGTTGGGAACCACATGATCAGTTGCTATCTGCATATAAACTAGCTGTGGGTTTCTGTAATGGTCTCCACTGCTGCAAAAATAAAATTCTTTGGTGAGGGGTGAAAGCTACACTTATCTGGGTATAAGGCTATATATTCAAAATGCATTTGGTCATTACTGGTTTAGTAAACTGGGACTAGCAGCTTTCCTCTAGGGTCTATTGCCTCTTCAGCCATGGGGAGTTGGTTATCTTTACAGTACGAGGCATGGATTCCCTCCTATTGAGCAGACCTTAGGTCCAATTAGATGGTCATTAGTTACTCCCAATGTAAGTACCAATGTTGTGTCCTTTGTATATCTTGCCGTCCTGGCTATTGTTGTGGCTTATTGACTCCACAGCTGGGTAGGACTATTGGTTGCTTTCCTCCCCTGACAGCTCATTCAGAAGATACCATGAAAGCTAGTACTCAGGGAGGAGGCTTCAAGGTCACTTCCAATTTGATTCCTTCAAGCCCTGTGTCTGAAGTGTGTCTCTAGCAATAGGGTCTTACCTCCAAGTTCTGGAAGGTAACCAAGGTTAATGGCAATTTCCTATGTCATTTTTGAAATCTCTCTGACTCCCCTGACCTACAGCTGAAGGGGAGGTATCCCATGCCTGGCATTGGCTTTCTGTTAGATTCTATTTAATATAAACTCTTACAGAAATACTTTCCAAAGTTGGCAGAACACAGAAAGGGGATTTTTCTCAATGCTATTGTGTGGAGCAAGAACCCTGTTCTACAGCTTGCATTTAACCACTCTAAAGATAGAAGCTGGAGTCCCCTAACCCCACAGCCTTGTGTGTGGTCTCTGTTTAAGGGGTACTGAGAACTAGCTGTGAGGGTCACTGGGAGGTAGGGGATGTCTCTTCTCCCTGTTTTTTTTTTTTTTTTTTCACTTGAAGGGCTTGACTAGTACCAGGTTTGTAACATGTTTTGGCTTCCTTTCTGAGTCCTCTTCCTCTAAGGACATTATGTTATAATGAGGCAGATTCAATGAAAACTTGTCTGGAAGAGACGCTGATCAGTGTACGGAGCTTGAGAATTTATGAATGGGAGACATTCTTGCCTCCATTGAAACCATCTAGGCGGCTTTGGCCTCCAAAGCCATGTGCTAGCTGTGGAGGTTTCCTCAGCTCCTAAAACCATCTGTCCTTAGAAGAGAGCTGGCTATTTGAGGTCTCTTACTCCCTGCCAGTGTTCACCTAAGTGGCTTTTCTGTGCAGTCCTGGCAGGAGTAAGGTTTAGACACGTTCTCCCATGTCCTTGAATGTTTGCTCACTTACCAGCAATGAGCTTAGGTCTAGTTTAG